CCTGCCCTAACACCTCTTGCCCTTGCTGGTGTAGAGTCTTCCCCTCCTCATCCATCCTTGGTGATGGCCTTTGATGTTCCTTCTCAACTACGCGGGTTCCTGAACCAACAGGTTGCATTTCTTTCTACACTTGAGAAGAAGCTTGCAGATTAACGACTATTATAAGAAGGTTCTGGGTGCCGTGAAGTCCCGTGCTCCTTTGGTATCTAAATCAAAAAAGGGGGAGATCAAGAAGGTGGCTGGAAGTAATGGGAAGAATTCAAAGGTTGTTGAGAAGTCCAAGGTTGCTGCCACGACCAAGGGAAAAGAAAAAGTTGTTGCTGCCAAAGAAAATGAGAAGGCTATGGAGTCCAAAGAAGGTTCAGATACTGCTGAAGAAGATGAAGTGGACTCAGATGCTGAGGATGAGCAAGAAAAAGTTGCTTCAGAGGAAGACACTGAGGCTGGATCAGAAGAAGGTTCTGATGATGAAGAGACTGAGGATGATGAAGGGTCTTCTTAGACTCTTCGGTTGGAAATTTGATTGTGTTTCGTTAAAACTAAAAACTAATGGATCCGTGTGTTGGTTGTCTGAACTTTTTTTATTTTGCCTTGCTTTTGGTTGGTTCGTAGACATTATCTTTTAACCTATGAACTGTCTTTTTCTTGTTTTGAAATATTCAGGTGGTTAAGTTGTTCAAACGAACAACATATTTGTGATGTGATAAGTATATGTTGGGTTAGTGTACATGTTGCAGGAAATGTCTCTTTGCATGTAGGTTTAGAAAATGTGTTTTCGATTTATCTGCCAAAGGGGGCGATTGTAAGTTCTGAAGATTGGCAGTAAATCTACGGACCTTCTTCAGCTCCCAGTTTCAGACAATGCAAGAATATTTAAGGGAAGTTGACTTTATTATTTTTTCTAAATTTTTAAATTACTTCAGTTTTATGAGTTAATACTTATATGTGGTTTATTATGGCAGGTCTAATAGAAGGGAATTGGGATTCACCTTCCATATGCGCTCACATTCCATATGCATAAGATACGGATCACGCGAACTGGACTTTCCAAAAGGCGGCCTGACTTGGCAGCGAAGTTTGATGAAGAACTTACCATATGAGGATGAGAATAAAAGGACGACGAGAGGTGCATTGAGATGTACTTTTTACTTTTTATTCTTTTGGGGAGTTAATATGAGATTACGGAGTTGTGTAGTATTTGGAGTGATTGGAGTGATCTGTATTTTATATTGAGTGAAGAGATTATAATTGAGTGATTTGATGGTGAGTGAAAATATATAGTGAAAAGAGGTTCATTCTGTTTCCGTTTGAGGGATTCAAACATGAAAAACCACAAGAGATTTGTGGTCGGATAAGTAGTAGTGTAAATCATTGTTCAAGTAGAGTGTAGAGGGAGTCTATACTGTAAACCCTTAAAGAATGTGTGAGTTATTTGCATTAATGAAATAGATCCGAAAGAAGAGTGGGACGCTCTCCTGATGGTTCAATTTTTTGGTTATACAGCTTCCGCAAACTATTGAATCTACTTTATATTCTGTTTAGTATTGATTGTGTGTAACTCTGGGTACTTGAGAGACAAGTATCAAACTTCAACTTACATGTCAAATTAACTTTGGACGTAAATGGAATATTCAAATATTTATAGTTTAATAATATACTCACCTACTTAATTTTTTGTTTGTTTAGATAGTTTATAGAAGAATAAATTTATTTTACTTAATAAAACAATATAACTTTTATAATTATACTTATTATTTAAATAGTTTGCTAAATATATGATACAATTTTACCAAAATAATTATTTCATAGAATCACGATGTAGTTTAATCGAATTCTAAATAAAAATTTTAAAATGAATATAATTTATTATCAATTACGTGCACCGTACGGGTTATGTACAAATTTTAAATAGATATGTTTTTATCTAATTTTACACAATTTAGATTTCATATAACTTTTTCAATCCCCCTTATATATAATCTCGAATGTGCCGAGGCTAACTAGGTGTTAAAGTAGAATACCTGACGTTCCAATCTGATTGGATATTTTTCTACTTTTAAAGACAATTTATTGGAGATTATATTATTTTGAGGCATAGCTTTATCTTATGTATTTGCATTTATCCTATATTTGCAAATATGATAAAGTCCTTAGATCATTATTGGCTATAAGGCATGGTTGCGCATTTGATGGCAATCACGGAACATGTCTTTAAAGCTGTGATCTTAAATAAGTTCCAAGTCAATGGGTATTTCGAGACAGGACATCGAATAACCTGGTAAGACTTGTACATATGATGTATGCTCATCGGATGAGAATGTTGCATTCCATCAACATTAGCGTGTGGACGCAAATGCATATATGTGGGTGCTTGTTGGAGAACAAGTTCACTGAATATGACCCGATGAAAATTCTTAACTGGAAGTTTTTAACTGTGGAATAAGAATTTTCATGTTGCAATAGTACATGACTGATCCTCTGAATTGAGGCACGATAGTAATCTTGTGCATGTTGTGCTTTACTTTGATTTATCCTTTGATTGCTGGACAATTATAAAAGGGATATTTTGGGTACTGTATTAATATGTATGGAAGTTTATCTGTGGCCAACAAAGATTCAATACTTATGTGGATAAGTGAATTTCCTATGTTTTTCATAGTTTGTGATTCAAAGACCTTGGCTAAGGCGAGATGAATATAGATTCATAAAGGAATCACTAAACTTGAAATGAAATCATTGTTATTAAATCAATTGAGTTTCGACTTATAAATCCATGCCCAAGATTTAATCGAGAAATTAGTTGTCGAAAGGATTTTACATGTATGCACTTGAAATTGAAAAGGTTTACTCGCTATATCACTTGACACTAGATAATCATGCTACTTGCTAGGTGTTACCATGATTTGTGGGTTCTTGAAATTAAGGAGTTAATTCAAGAATATAAATTAATTAGATTAATTTAAATTACAAACGAGTTGTAAACTCACTACTAGTGTTAATCGTGAACCTAAAAGGGTCACACCAAATTTTGGATGATGACAATATTGAAATTAAAATTTCCAATAGTTGGATTAATTGACAAGTCCTAATTAAATAATTTGATTATTTAATTAAAATCTAATTTTGATTGGATGTCAATTAAAGGAATAAAAATAAATAATCAATTGGATTGATTAATTAGGCTTTAGATATTAATTAAGTAATTATTAGAATTACTACATTAATAGTTGGATTTTAAAGTTGGACTTTAAAATTCAAATCCAAATATTAATATGATTATAAATTAATAGCCTACATGAGAAAGGAGATTTTATTTTATGAGAGATAAGATTTTAACAAATTAATTTTGAAAGTTAGTTTCATAAATTATATGTCATTGTCTTTTATTAATCTTTAATTAAGATTAAAGATTAAAATAAATAATAAAAATATTTGTCAATTGTTGGTCAACTAATGCACATGTATTTGAACATGTCATTTAATAAAAATTGGTGAATGTTATACCTAATGATGACATATATATTTAAAAAACAAATTGGGTGGAATATGTCAACCCATACTACATGCATAATGTTTTTAGTATATATATAATATATATATGTACATATGAGATGTACCAAATGAATATACAAGTGAAGCTCTCTCATCGTTGAAGAAGAGTTCTTAACGCAAGGGTTGCATAGTTCTCCTATAATTAGTTTTGAAGAAAGAGAGCAATAGTTGCTCTTGGCTTTTTCAAAGAAAAATTAAAAAAATAAAATAAAAATCTCCTCTCAATTTAATTCCTTATACCAATTCAATTCCGAAAAATTTCTACAAGCGAAGAAATTGTTATCGGAGTCGGAATCCAAAAGGTGGACTCGATTAGAGGGGAGACACTTGGATCCCTTATGGTGAGACGTACGAAGATGGTGATAGATACATAACCGTGAATTGATTTCCTCTCCGTCATTGCTATTTGAAGAAAATTAAAGGTAATTTTCGAAATTCTCTACAAATCAAAATTCGTATTTTTACGTGATTTTAAAAGATGCCGATCGTAACAATCGCTATAGTAACCGAGGGGTTTAGTATTTATTAGATAAATTATTATTTATTTTGTTTTATTTCTGCTGTGTTTCACCTCGTACGGTATAGCGAACCCAACAGCAGGCTCGCATGTTTCGGGGTCCTGTGTAGTAAAATTTCATGCTTCGTCATTTGACTTGGATAGCTTCTAATTACTACTAATCCAAATATAATTAGGATTGAAATTATCCAAAAATATACTAGATATTATGGCCCTTTTTATGACATTAATTGTTCTTTAATATAATTTTCTATTGTAGACGTAGTTTATAAGGCATGAATTTTTTTTCCCTCAATCTTTCTTTTTCCCCCAATCTTTTTTTTTAAATAAAAAATATAATACACTATAATAGGTTAAATTTTAAATATATATAAAAGTTAACTTTTGTATTTATTATAAGTTTTACATATATAATATATCAAATTAACCATCTCTTAATTAGCTTCGATTTGACATTTATATTGTATATATAAAATAAATTAACTATATTTATGTTTACAAATAAAAATAAATTATTTAATAATTATAATTGGAAAATAAAAAATATTTTCAATTTAGAAATTTAACTACAAAGTAGTTATATGATATAAGTTAAGAAAATATTGTAATATACGATGGCTAAGTCGTATATGTGACGGATGTTATTTTAAATAGAAATAATCATAATTTTTGAAAAATTTAAAATTTAAAACAATTTTTGTATTACTTTTTAAAATTAGGTATAAATTTCTTAACAAGCACCCGTGTAATATACGAGTATTGCACTAGTAAATTAATATAGTAAATTGTATTTGATTCTATATTTTCAATTTATGAATATTATTTAATGAGTATTTTTAATTTATAAATGTTAATAAATATCTATTATTAATAAGAAGGGATATGTGAAGTAGCATAGTATGGAGGCCCATTGATTCAGCCATCAAGACCTCTTAGAACTCATTAGGCCCAGGCTCGCCCTAAAAACCCTAACTCTGTTCCATATATAAAACATTTCAATCTACCACCAACTCGCGACCTTCATAATTCTCCTCAGAAGAAAAGCACAACCAAAATGCCGGCGGGGCACGGTCTGAGGTCACGCACGAGGGATCTGTTTGCCCGTCCCTTCAGGAAGAAGGGCCCGACTCATCTTTCAACATATCTCCGCGCCTATAAGATAGGAGACTATGTCGATGTCAAAGTTAACGGGTCGATACACAAGGGTATGCCCCACAAGTTCTACCATGGGCGCACTGGTCGAGTTTGGAACGTCACCAAGCGTGCTATCGGGGTTGAGGTCAACAAGCAGGTACCGATGCTTCTCTAGTGTATTTTCATTTGTTACTGGTGAAAACATCTTTTAATCGCGTGAAGTATGTATTTGTAGTTTTAATTTTCTTAATATTATAAAGAACTGGAGATGCAGTTGCTGTATATCACGATTACATTATTTGTAAATTCAAGGGACATGTTTCTGTGCAGCTAGCTATCTCAAATCCTTGATTTATGCTGGTTTTAGTGCAAGTTGGAACGAATATCTGCTTAATGTGTTTTTTCTCACCAATGTGTATGTTTATTCTATGCTTAAGATGGGCTGCTTTGGATTCCTGGGTATTTTGGTGGAAGTTGCTTGAGCTCTTGGGTTTTTCCTTTTCTAGTGATGATGCAAATGAACATATAAATTTATTCAATGCAATGATGAAAGGTTCTCTGCAAGTGGTGGTTGCCCAACTTGTAACTTAATGTGTTCATGTTATTATTAAGTCCTGTTCTTGCAGTTATATTATGTTATCAGGGCGACATTTTCTCTTGATTTCAGTTCAATTTTATGTCTGTGAGAGAAAATCTTAGGCTTGTTTCTCAAAACATTCGCAGTTGCTGACTGATAGCTTTCGCCTTCACCAGGCTTCAGAGCTTGTACTGCTTACACCGTTAGATTTCTAAGACAATTTTATCTCGATTTTTTGAAACAGCTTCATCTAATTGTAATTTTTGCAATCTGCGACTTAGAATATTTTAAATTTAAATCCACAGGCATTCAATTTGAAATTGTATTTTTTAGTTTAGGAAACTGCATATTTTCTACAATGTTTAGCACAAATATTTTTTTTTATAACTTGTAATTGTTACCTCAGTGCAGTGAACACATTCTTACCGTGGGTTTGCATTTCACATTTTTCCTTCTGTAAGAATTTGCATCTTTGTTGAAAACTTTTACCATACTATGCTTTCCCATCATGAACCTTTCTCTTTCATTTGTGCACAACTATTATACTTGTCTTTTCCCTTTTCATATGACACTATTGACTTCTTTCATTGTGTCCATGTGTGGGTGCAGGTTGGTAACCGAATCATACGGAAGAGAATTCATGTTCGTATTGAGCAAGTTCAGCCCTCACGTTGCCATGAGGAGATACTTGAGAGGATCAAGAAGAATGATAAGCTGAAGGCTGAGGCCAAGGCACAAGGTAAGATTATTAGCACCAAGAGACAGCCAGAGGGACCCAAGCCTGGTTTTATGGTTGGGGGTGCAACTATCGAGACTGTGACTCCAATACCATATGATGTCGTCAATGATCTCAAAGGTGGTTACTAAGGTTTTGAGCACTCAACTAAGTGGGGTATTTCTTTGAATTTTTGTGTCTGTTTTGTTTTTCTAGTGTCAGTTCAATGTTGTCTTGTTCGTTGCACATTTGATTGACTCGGAATTTCCGAAGTGATAATTTAAGTGGAACGATATCCGGTCTGATTTACTTGCAGCTCTTGGTGGTGGTATGATTTTTTATCTATTGGATGAGCTCGTTTGAAAAAATTTCTAGCTGGTGGTTTTCTGTTATTAAGCATCGTTGTGAAATATAAACCCCACAAATGAAATGAATTAATGACTATTTTGCTCTCAATGTAATTGTATTTTTACGATTGTGACATCTACAATTTTCTATAAATAAGAATTCCACATATAATGAAAATATATCAAGAGAATATATTCTCTCTATTCTATTTCTTTTTCCTCTAGTTTCATAACACGTTGCCAGCACGATTCTCTACCTTCTAGAGCTCGATTTATAAAATATAATAGCCCTACCTTCTAGGGCTCGATTTGTAATATATAATAGTATGCCCTACGGATACAGATGCATCTTAGAGTTGATTCTCTGTATTAGAAATTGAATTTGGCAATTTTCATTTATACACAGCGTATCTTAATTTATTGTAAGATTACCAAAGAGATTAATTTATTTGCAAGTTTACCTAATGCATGGAAATTAATTGAGATAATACCTAATTTCGGTTACCTCAACAAATAGAGATCAATGTCCTTAAATGTCGCGTTTTGTTAGTCAGCCGTTATTTTTGCACAGATAAGATATGTACTCAGCCGTTATCGATTTGATGTTTATATATATATATATATATGTATATATATTGGGTTTATATACAGAACATATACAGAACATATACTAAAAAATAACATCAGATCCAGGCGAACATATACTGGAGATGTGTATACCGAACATATACAGAACATATACTGAAAATAACTCCAGGTCTAGTGAAAAAAAAAAAACAGAGAGAGAGAGAAGAAGGGAGAAGAAGAGATAGGAGAGAGAAGGTCTACCTTTAATTATGTTGATCAGTTAATTGCATACTTCAATTAATTATTTAGTAATTTTGCAATTAATGTTATCCATATGGTAATTTTGCAATAAAAAGTGATATGTGTTGTATATGGTGTAATTTTCTCAATTGAATTACTACATCCTTGCTGAGAACTTTTATCTTTGTCATGTTGAAAAAACCATCTAAAACCTCATCCCTTATAATTATTAAAAAAAAAAAATGTAATCTTACACTGGTAAGACAAATTTCAATCCAGGACAGTGGAGTTGTTGGAAAACCACATCAGGTATGTCAACGTCTCTTCAAGTAATTAGTATTTAGCATTAGCAAACTTGCAATCCAACTACACATATTTTCCTTACAAGAATGAATAAAATTAAAAAAGAACTTGTTTTGGAATTGAAGAGCTACTGTTTGAAGAATCCAACTTTTTCTTTTGCTTTCTCACAAAATATTTCACTAGAGTTTACAAAGAAAAGAATGAACACTGATGAAATGAAATTATCTTAGAACTGGTTGTGAGCAGAGACCATTTGAAAACAAGAAAATAGTGAAAGAAAAATGACTGGTATGGATTGGACGAGTCTAGAAAAATGAAGAGAACGATAATCTTCAGCAATGGGTACACGACACAATAGCTGGTATATATGCATTAATGCACTTGGGAGTTGGGACCAATGTTCTGAAAACCGGACTGGACCGGCCGGTTCGACCGGTTCAACCGGAAACCGGTCATAGTACTGGTCCGGTTTTAGTGTTTGAGCCGCTGGGAGCAAGAACTGCCATTGAACCGGGCGAACCGGTCAAAAACCGGAAAAACTGGCAAATCGGTAACGGTTTGGCCGGTTGAACGGTTCTTAAATTTGGAGATTGAAAAAATTGGATTTTGGCAAATTGGGTCGTAGCTTGTTGGAATTTTGGCAAATTGGCACTAGCCCAACCCAATTATTTACTATCTTGAGATTTTTGCAAGCCCACCAATAAAAAAATAAATAAATAAATAAATAAATAAAATAAAATAAAAGAATAATGAATTAGAAAAAAGACAAGCAGAAAAAATCACAAAATTAAATTACGAAACAAAAGAAAAAGGCTGAAAACTTTTCATTAGTCACTGTACTCGTCCTCTGAAATAGAAAATCCCAATCCAAAACCCTACATCTCCGCCTCCATTACCGCCGCAATTTGGATTGCCTTGCTTTTTTTTCCGAAACGATAGAATTTGTATTAACCAACCGAGAACAACGTTCGAATACAACCAAAGGTACCAACCTCACTAACTACAACCACAACAAAAGGAAAATGAGAGGACACGCATGCAAGCGGCCTAGAATCGACTCAACCCAAGAGATAACCAGAAGAAGGTTACATACCAATGCACAAAGGCCTAGCCTGCAAACCTTCTCCTACACAGACTCAGACTAAAAACAACAGCAACTCAGAAAAAACACCAATCACATAAAAAACACAACACTACTAAGATCAGCAGAACCAAAGAAAGAACACAAAACTAAACAGAAACTAAAGCAGAAGACAGAGAATTAGATACTGAATTATTAATATTTAATCTATTGTTTTGGTGAACTTAAATTAGTATTTCTTATGGTAAACTATACTTAAAATATTGATTATTCAGCTCTTAGTTAGAAAAATGTCATTATATGCTATAAAATTAATGATAAAAATATATACAATTATATATTATATATATAAAATAAATAAATAAATTATATATTAACTAAACCGGTTCGACCACTGGTCCGACCAGTGAACCATTGAACCAGTAGCTTCACCTGTTCGATGACCGGTCCGATTTTCAGAACATTGGTTGGGACCCCTTGACTTGGCCTACATGTAACACCTCGCCTAAACTTACTAAAATTAGAGTAAATTTTTTGCGCTATAAATGGAAAGGTGCTGATTTAATTTTCGAAAACTCAATTTAACTTTTTCGAAATCACTTTAATCTGACTGCGGGATGCTACTCAACTGAACTGAATTCTCACTTCTATTCTCATTTTCAATTATGCACGCAACCGAGTTATAATTCATTACTCTAATAAGGCGTCATGACAATCTAAGGATTTTAGGCATACATAGACTGAAATTCTGAATACTGAATGTTGTAGCAAATTGATTTCGTTTTACCGAGTACCGAAACGAAAGATTCGTTCCCCGGGTCGATCTCTCGAGGAAGGTGGTTCGGAATCTAGCGTTGGTGTTGATAATGTTAGTGTTATATACTGAAAACTTGGCTTTGCATGTTATTACACATTTACCCTTTATGAATGAGAATCATGTTAGATTAAACAAGTTCTACGTTCTGTTGTTCTGCACTTAGATAGTGTGGGTCGTCATCGGGCGAACCGAAGATCACTCTATCAGTTACTTGCGAACAAGAATAGTTGTTCACAACCTAGATGGCCATGAACACTCCATCCGAACGGTTGTAGTGTCAACTGTACAGTTTGTCTTGACTGATTAGTTGCACTAGTACATTTATGTATTGAACAGGATCCCAGAGAGGAGAAGTTCATTTTATACTGATCGTCGTAAATGAACTAGGCCTCGGTTAATTACTGCGTTCTCTTAACCCGTAAGATATTAAACAGGCAGATATATATAATATATATTACTTTGATTCACATGGGTGAGGTTCAGTTCGCTGGATTAATATTCCTACTGTTTTGGGTAATATTATTATATATAGGATGTGCTGTTAGGATATTTACGGTCACCATGTGCGTTAGTTTGATGATGTCCCCGGAGTGAGTTCATGAAGGATTGTTATGCTAAACCCTGCAGGTGGATTAAATTCCGGCATAATAAGAATGTGATGAACGAGCGCTAGCTTCGGTGAAATAATAATAAATTAATTAATTCTTGATTGTCAGTAATCGAATTAATTAATGGACATTATATCTTAAACGTGGGGAGGTAAATCGAGTAATTATTATTGGAGTCTCAAATGTAATTTGGGCTATAGAAAGGGAGTGCAATAATATAATGTTGGTGGCCCATTAATATTATTTAATTAATTAGAGGAGTGGATTTGGCCCACAGTTAGTCTAATTAATTAAGGAGCCATTTTCCTAATCTCCTTAGGGTCCCTACTGTAGCTCTATATATACATCATTAAGCTCATGAGAAGAGAATCCCAATCCTATTCACACGTGAATAACGCCGCCTATCTCTCTCTCTCTAGATCTCATTCGAGCTTTATCTTCTTCTTGTTGCTCCACTGGTACAAGTTGAAGAAGGGTGTATTGAGTAATACAGTAGAAGATCTGTAGGTAAACCGAGACGAAATAGATTTTGACCTACATAACTAACCGGAAGTCCGATTGAGACGTACAGTATACCCAGACGACCGTATCGACGAGAGATTTCCATCGCCGCCGACGTCGCCGGACTCGAAAACCGCACGCGCCCTCACGCGCCGCCGGAAGGTGTCTGGCAGCAAAATCTCGTTTTGATCTGTTTGCACCCGTTTGATCCAGTTTTGATCTGATCTTGTTCGTGCAACCCAAGACGCGTGTTGTGGTCAATCAATTGCGGTCAACCGTTCGTGGTCAACCAGATCTACATAAATTTTAAGCCGTAAGTTCTCTACGTCAGACCTTTAGATCCGCTGCGCATAGGTTTACGTTTGCTATTGAATTCGTGATTTGTACATAACGAGATCCTCACAGATCCCAACAGATAACACATAAAAGCAAAATAAATCCTAAACATTCTAATCAAAAGATTGGTTTTTGATTATTAACTAAGAAATAGCATAAACATAAATCTACCTAAAAATATAAACGACAAAAAGGTAAAGAAGCTAGGGAATCGGGGATGATTAATTCAAGTTCGAAACGTAAAGCCGGGCAATTAATCGTTCGGTTCAAGATTGATACTCTAGCTTAAACATCTAGCGGTTCCCTCCCAATAATTCTTCGTAACATGGGATTGAACATAGACGAGCAAGTTTGAGCATACAACACCTACAATAATCGAATTCCAATAACTCTTCGTAACATGGGAAGGGATATCGACAAGCGTGTTCAATCCAGAACCTACAGACAATACGTCTCTGAACATGTCTACCTCATATGAGCCTAGTTCAACAACTTCTCCCCTATCGGTTTCGAAAATCGCTAAATAAATTAGAAGATATTTAATCAACTAATCATGTGGAATCAACAAACCCTAACTCAATAAATCAATATCCAATCATTTCCAATCGCAATACCGAAGTGTCACCCTTCCATTATATCAATCAAAAGCACAAATTCATTAACTCCTAATCGATTCAACTCGCACAAGAATGAACAAATTAAAGCCCGACAAATACGAATTAAACAAGA